TGCTTTGTCGGATCCACTTCATCATATCACCTGGTCACCATGTGACGGTCTGTACGGTTTGCGTTGCGAGTTCCTGGGCAAAGCGGAACCTAATTGTTCCTCTAATAGATCGGTGAAAGCACATTCCTTCATGACTAAGTATGTCAAACACCCGCTGGTCCCTCACCCCACATGAACCGCATTTCTTTTCCATGAGAGTTGCCACAGAGGTCGCATTAAGGGTGCAGCCGCTGTAACATAACTCCCAGTCCGTAGGAGGCGTGGGTCATAGCGTCAGCCAGCGACTTTGTCACATACGGATTTCGGCGCTTCTTGATAGCTTTCAAACGCTGCAGCTTTCTTATAGTGCTGAAGGCGAGCGCGGCAAAGGATAAATCTTACCGAGTTTACATAAGTGTTAGATGCTCTTCTCTTATGCTGTGACCTTACAAAATATCTGAATATAATAGATAGCGTTTGACTTTCGCAGTGGGTAGATGTAATCGTTTGCCGGTGACAAGTCATTCATATACAGCAACAGACGGTCGCCCGGATGATTTAAAAGTAAAAATTTCCTGGGTTTTTAACTGAAAGTATTTCGAATACGCGCCTAAACTCCAAAGGTGTCGGGAGAGTATTTTTGTCGAATGTCTTCGAACTGAGTTCAACACTAATTGCTCTGAATTGATACCTTACATTGAGAAAAAAACTGAAAATTGGAATCAGTTTATATTTTAAAAACATTCCTTGCAGATATGCTTGAAAGCAGCAGCTTCCGGGGGCCCCTCTCGGAGCAGGAGTTTGTTGACCTGACTGACTGGGGTAGAGTCGTGGCGCCCCGCGACGTATCAGTGGACCCATCGGCCCTCCCCCAGCGCGTTGGAGCGTGCTACGCTCGACTCATCTGCAAACCGAACGGTTGCTACCGCCTCTTATCTTCTCCCAAGTCCCTTGTCTGTCCTCGGCTTGTCAACCCAGCCCTGCCGGCTACCGTTCATCGAAGTTACTTGAGCGTTGCACAGAGGTTACGCTGCCCGGGCGGTCTCGCCGACTTCATGCGTCATTTGCACACCTGCGTAAGTTGCCGCTAACTTGT